CTACTACGCTCGCTACACCCTCGCTAGGCGAGCTCCCAGCGAATGCTCTGTTCGCTTAGCGAACCTCCTCGCGAAGGCAAACAGAACCTACTAGACTCACTCGCTACCTCACTCGCTAGGCGAGCACCTAGCGAACGCTCGCTGCCTTCTCGCTAAGCGAAGTGCTAGCGAGTTGCCTGCGACTTCTCAAGTTCTCACAGTTCAGAATTCTCACTCTTCTCCGATTCAAGCCTATTCTATAACATCCACTTCCTATACTATCCGTATTAGGACCAATGCATATTAGGCTTATCAATCTTCCTATAATTCTACTCCAGATCAACATTACGGCACACTACCGGCACTTTAGAGTTACTCTGAACCTTACTCAAACCAAACCAACACCAACAGTCAATCAACAATGGCAACATCAAACATTCGTACATCATCATATACATATTATTCCAAAGTCATCACTTAAACAATCTATCGACACATCAAAAAGGTCACACAGAACTTCCCTAAAACCGTAAACCCAACCTATACGCCAAATTAACCAAAAACAACAATTCACCAACACTCAACATATTTCAATCCATCAACATCAACATAACTCAACAATCAATAGCATGTCAATATAAAACTTCATCAACGATACATTCCTACGGGGTTAAGGAATCCCCACTACCCTATACATGTATATACCATTCCCAATCAAGTTTCTCCCCCCTTACCTTGTTAATCGGTTGATCGATGAAATTCTTCCTGGATTTGGTCTCTTGGCCTCCTCTTTTCTTTCCGTTCTTCGTTCCCTTTTTCCTTCGTTCTTCTCACTTCTCTCGTTCTTTCCTCTTCTCTCTTTCTATCGCTCTATCGTGTTATTTTCTCTAATACTTCCCCATCCCTTCATATTCTATTTTCCTTTTTATTTCCTATCCCAATAATAATAATAACTAATAAAAATAACATAATAATAATAATAATAATAATAATAATATTAATATTATTATTATTATTATTATCACACCAATTTCCCACGATCTATGGTAATCCCTTTTCTCTCTATTCCAACTTTTCTAATATCTCCTTGCTACCCCTTCATATTTCCTTCCTCACGGTTTCTATCATGACTTTTCATATTTCCATTCTAACTTCCCAATAACCCTTCCACCTCTTATTTTACTTATTTCAACCACTAATATTCCCAATAATAATTCTAATATAATAATTATAATAATCATTATAATAATAATAATAATAATAATAATATAATACTATTATAATATTATAGTAATATTCAACATAATAATAATAATAGTAATACACCCAACAATAATTATAATTATAATAATAATAATACTAATGATAATAATAACAATTATATTAATACTAATAATAAAATAATATGAATAATAATAATCTTAATATTAATAATACTAATATAATATTACTAATATTAATAATACTAATCATAATAATACTATTAATAATAATAATAATAATAATAATAATAATAATAATATTATTATTATCTCACCAAAATAATAATAATAATAATAGTAACAATATTATTATCTCACCAAAATAATAATAATATTAATAATACTAATAAATATAATAATATATAATAATAATAATAATAATACCCCCACCAATATTACTATTATTCATTATATTATCATATTCACACCAAAAATCATAATAATATAATAACTATATTAATAATAATATTATATTCTCCATATTTATAATATTACTACAAATATTAATAATAATCATAAATATAATAATAATAATAATAATATTAATATTAATACCACCACCAATATTACTATTATTTCTTATATTATTATAAACTCACCAAATTACCACCAATGATCCTCCCATCTCAGGGACACCCACCAAACATCATCAAATACACCCTACCAAAGGGCACATCAACATATAATATTTAAAATAATAATAAAATGACTAAATAATTAAAATGGGTGTTACAATGTACATGGAGAATCTTGGAAAGGCTCACTGACAAGCATTGAAGTGGATTCTAAGGTACATAAATAGGTCTCTGAATAGAGTCCTAATTTATGGTGGAGCCTTGGGTGAAGATAATAAAGCAGCAGTCGAAGGATATGTCGACTCTGATTATGCAGGTTGTATGGATTCCAGAAAATCTATTTCTGGATATGTGTTCACTATGTTTGGGACAACAATCAATTGGAAAGGTACACTTCAAAAGTTCGTTGCCTTATCAACCACTGAAGTGGAATATATCTCCCTAAATGAAGTTGTGAAGGAAGTATTGTTTCTTGAAGATTTTGCAAAGAAGCTGAAACTTCAAGGTCGAGTTATCGCTGTTAAATGTGATAGTCAAAGTGTAATACACCTGTCGAAGAATTCAACCTATAATGAGCGAACCAAGCACATTGATGTGAGGCTGCATTTAGTCAGAGGGGTAATCGAGCGTGAGAAGTTCAAGTGCTGAAGGTTTCGACAGATCATAATGTTGCTGATATGATCACCAAGACGTTGCCCAGTTGCAAGTTTTTTCACTGTATGCAGTTGATAAAGCTGCATGAAGTAAGCTAGTTCCTTGATGTTATAGAGTTAGATCCAAGGTGGATATTTGTGAGATATTGGATCGAACTCTAGTATGGTCGCATGGTAGCTTCTGGTTCTACAGGAATTAAGCACGAGGTTGAAGTTTGTTCGCATGTTGTTGCTGCAAGTAATGCGTGTTGTAGTCAAAGTGTGTTATAACACGCATTAGTCAATATTGCTAGGTTGTTAGCATGTTGAATTGGGTCTTGCTTGTAAGCCCAATTATTTAAGTTAGCTTGTACCCTAAGTTAGCTTATAATGGATAATTGTTTAAAAAAAATGCATTAGGTTAGTGTTTTATTTTCTTTATAAATAGCATGTTAGTCTCTCATCTTGTCAATAAGAAAAAATAGGAAGATAAAATCCTAATTCAAGTGAGAGGGGTTATTTTGTTATTCTTGTATACTTGTAATCTTGTTCTAAGAGAAAAGAAAGAATAACCGTTTGTAACCAATCCTTGTTGTTCCTTGTTGTTTTACCTTCTTTTTTTTTTGTTAACCCTAATCCTTGTGTATTTCTTGATCATAAAGAAACCGTTTATATTTTGTTTCAAGACATCTGATTCACAAGAATAACTTTTTTTAAACATTATGTAAATGTTAACTATTAGATATTTTATAATATTAGATAATCTACAAGTTGGGTTAATTTAATTTGTTTCTGTATGAGTTATTAAAAAGATATAAATACGTTAATATTTTTAATATTATGATCAATGTTTTAAAAATTAGAACAAAGAACGAAAGAGTGAAATTTTCGATTTAAAGTTCAATTGATTCAATCGGTTAAAGCTATGGTCAAACTGTTTCTTAAATAAATTAATAATATGAAACTAAATTTCATAGATATGTCACACATAATTATATCTTCACAACTTAATAAAATAAATATTTAAAATATGCATAACAAACTTAATATAACAATATCGACGGTACATATAATAACATAACATAGTTGTACATTTCATTCCATCCTTCATTTAAGAATAATTTGAACAAATTAAGAATTACAATAAAATACGTTAAACTAATTCAAACCAAAATTAAAATAATAGAACATAATAACTAAAATAAAGTTTAAATAATTAAAAATACCTAAATTAATAAGATAGAATAACAAAAATAAACAATACAAAATACTTGAACAATAATCAATATTGAGTTGGACAACATGACTATGTTTGAAAGAGACCATGCGATGATGATGGAATGTGATTGAAAGAAAAACTATAACGTAGTGACAAAACTTAAAAGTTTGTATGGTTGTAAAAAAGTACATAATTCTTTTTTGTGATTGGGAAATATATGTTAAGTTTTGATATTAAAGGTTAAAATAAATTTTAAAATGGTCAATTTGATGATTTTTTTTAATCGGACGGTTCTACAAAACAGGTTTCGGTTCTTTGGTTCGAATGACTTTGGATGGTTCAATTCAATTTTTCCGATTTTACTTCGGGTTTTACCCATTAGGATTTAAAAGATTAACCTAACCGGATTCATTTTCGGATCCCGACCCAACCGGTTGAACTGACCGGTTTAGTCCGATTTTTAAAATATGAGTTAAATATACAACACTTTCTGCAATGCAGACGAGTTTCAGTTTACCCCTATAATATATATTTTTTAAATTTCCCCTATAATATATATATATTTTTTCTCCTTTTCTAAGGGATAAATTTTATATATATATATATATATATATATATATATATATATATATATATATATATATATATATATATATATTTATTTATTTATTTATTATAAGGGGTAAACGTTGACGCTTAAGGGGCGAAAAATATAAAATTTTAATGTTTTAAGGGAGATTCAAAATTTTATTTTTACATGAGGTAAATCGAAACTCGCATATATTGTAGGAGATATTGTATATTTAATTCTTAAAATATTGATTATGAGTGACTGAGATAATTCAATTATTCAATTGATATGTGTTAATTGAATTAAATTGATATAAATTGTTGAAATATAATTGATTCTTTGATAGTAATATTTAAGAAGCTGTTAGATATTTATAAACCAACAAATTTTATAAAAATAATTAAAAATAAATATTTATTTAAATATTTTAAAAATAACATTAAAAAATAGTGCATCACATAATAATTTGATTCAACATATTTACAATTTTGTTTAAATATACATAGATCTTAGTCTGATAATATCTGTGATTAAATAATGTAGAAATAGTAGAAAGCAAGATAGTATAAAGAGAGATAAGCAATGACACAAATTGTTACTCACTTTTGGAAATTAAGTGATAGCTGACTACTCCTTCCTTGAGTGTTCTGCTTTCTTTCATTTCATTTCAATTCCCACACATCACTTCCTTCTATCCTATTCTCCATTCTCTTTGTCCCTTCCTTCATTTCTTAACACAAAAAAATCACTTATTTACTCTTTATGGAAACTGAACCGCAACTACCCATCCTCATCAAGTCTAGGTTCAAACGTATATGTGTTTACTGTGGGAGCACTCCAGGAAAAAATCCAAGCTACCAAATTGCTGCTATTCAGCTTGGAAAACAATTGGTAATTCATTATTCATTCATATTCATCCTATTGTTCTGTTTTTTCTCTGTTCTATTGGGATGGAGAAGAAGAACAAGAGACAATTAATTAATCTGAATGATTAAGTTAATTAATTTAACAATTTTTCGAAAAATAATTGAGTAGAGAAAAATATTTAATAAAAGTGTGATTCATGTGTATAGGTGGAAAGGAAGATTGACTTGGTATATGGAGGAGGAAGTATAGGGTTGATGGGTCGTATCTCTCAAGTTGTTTATGATGGTGGATGTCACGTGTTAGGGTAATTGCTTTCTATCAAATAATATAATGTCAGAAATTTAAATTGAATGAATAAATAAGATGTTCTGATGTTCTTGCATAATTACAATTTTTCATTATTATTTATTTTTAGTATTTTTTGTGCTGATGAATCTTCCTTCTGGCTTCCTTCTGCAGAGTCATTCCAAAAACACTTATGACAAAAGAGGTATTTAATTACTACTAGTAGTATTAATCTGCAATCAAACTAAAATTATACAACTAATCAATTAATTAATAACACATAATTGGTTATTACTGTAGATAACTGGTGAGAGTGTGGGAGAAGTAAGAGCTGTATCAGGGATGCACCAACGCAAAGCTGAAATGGCCAAACAAGCTGATGCTTTTATTGCCATGCCAGGTTAGTTAGTTAGTTACAAGTTAGTTATCCATCTTCTCCAACTATGCACACGTGTGAACTTTGGATAACAAATTCTGTTACATTTTTCTTTCTTTCTTATCATCAAGTCTCAACTCTCACATCATTATCAAATCATATGTATATAATTGTAACTAATTATAATTATTAATAATGTTTCAAATTAAAATTCCAATAGGTGGATATGGCACACTAGAAGAATTACTGGAAATTATTACCTGGGCTCAACTTGGTATCCATGATAAACCGGTAACAATTTCATTCTTATATTTTAAAATTATTTTAACAATATAATATACGATTTTTTATTATATAAATTAAACTTTATTAGTATTTAAATGAAAATAAAAAGTAAAAAAAGAAAAAAATAATTGGGAGGCAATTGGTTACAGGTGGGGTTATTGAACGTGGATGGTTACTACAACTCGTTGCTGGCATTCATGGACAAGGCTGTGGAGGAAGGTTTTGTAACACCAGCTGCCCGTCACATTATTGTATCTGCCCAAACTGCCCAGGATCTCATGTGCAAACTTGAGGTAGTACCTATTAGGCTATTACACTTTCAATTATTATTTACAATTTGCAAAATTTTCCATTTTTATTCCACGTACTCTTAACACTTTCTACATTCTAATTATAGTACAATAAATTGCACATGATTGAGACAACACGATTGTAATGTACCCCAATTATTGGAAACGATCTCAGCCGTTGATTTGATCATGAACAGGAATATGTTCCTAAGCATTGTGGTGTGGCTCCTAAGCTAAGTTGGGAGATGGAACAACAGTTGGTTAACACAGCAAAGTCAGATATTTCTCGTTGACTAAAATTTAATTAAATATTAATCTATAATTATGATACTAATCCACCGTCAAGGTGGACCCTACATTTTAGTATAGATGTAAGCTTCACAGATTAGTTCTTGCTTTGATTTGTTTTTTTATTTCTATTTTTTGTTTGTTTTGGCTTTTTTATGGTCCAAACTATGTAATTTGTTACTTAAAGAAGTAATTGTGAATTATTGTATGATCAAGAATGAAAGAATATTAATTAGTATATACTATAATATGAGTTTTTATCATGTCGGTGATTAGGAATGTTATATTTTTTTATAGTTTAAGATATAAAATAATCACTTGTTGAATACAGCTTTCAATTAATCGTTTTAGAAAAATAAAATAAAACTTATTATTTAATAAAAAATTATCCTTTAAACTAATGATTATATTATCTAAAGAATCAACTATTAGCATGCTAAACAACTCACATTTCTTGACTCAAAATAGCACAAGCAAACCTCAATTAGTTTCAACTTATTTAACAATATCATTCATAAAATATATCAATTAATTGAGGAACAATTCTAATATACCAAACTTTTTTTCTTCTATGGGGTAACGTAGAAAAAAGATGTTCGGTATATTATAGGTTTATGGTTTTTATTGGTCTGTAAAATCATCTTTTTAAATTATTTTTCTTTTTATTTCATTTTATTTTATTTAAAAAGCGATTATTATATTTTTTTAAATTTTCTTTTATGATTTTGACATATTACAACGTTGTTTTGCTTGTCGTCTTGATGCCATTGTTAGTTTGATTTTTCATCTTGTTGCAATGTGTTAATATAGTAACCGGCAATACAGACACTTATTTTCATTAAAGTTAAACAAGATAAAACTTGCATGAATGAAGTATAAAGATAAATCTCATTATATATAGAGTTCAATGATAAAGCAACAAAACTTAAATACCAAGAAACCAACTATCTAACTAACTAATGGAAAAAAGGGAAACTTGCATGCAAGAAAGTAAACTAACACCCCTTTAAATTGGACTATGTAAGTCACATAGGCCTAACTTGGACATATTAGTAAAGAAATGACGTTGATGTAAGGGCTTGGTGAAAGCATCTGCAAAGTAGGAGTGAGAATATGCTAGACCAACTAACAGAGGCCTACGACTTAGCCTACATAGGCCCAGACCATGTCAGACTTTTTCTTAAATAGAAAAGGCTTAGGCTTTTTTATAAGCCTATTTAGCTAAAGAGGTTATGCCACAGGCTGTAAGAAAAGTCTTTTAAACCTATTAGGTCGGCCTATTTATAAAAAATTCAATAAATTTATTATTATTATATTGTATTTTGTACTTTGAATTAAAATACGAAAATAAAGTTTAGATATTTTGAACAACTTATGAAAATAAGTTGAAAATATTATAAACAATGTCATAAGTTTTTTTTCCATAGATTCTCTCCAACAAATAATATCACCAAACTTATGCTGATAGGTAAACTTGAATGAGACAATGAAAACAATCATTTAATCTCAATGATCTTTTAATTTGTTAGTCTATTTAATATTAGTTGAATTTCTTATTTACAAACGTTCAAAGTGAAGTAGGCTTCTAAGTATGCTAGTATGCCAATCAGGCCTTTGAAAAGGCCGAGCTTAGGCCTAAAAATAAGCCTATGATAGGCTACAGACCAGACTCTAAATTTTTTAGCAGGCCAGACTCAAGCTTGGCAAAGCCTAACTCGGCCTAGCCTATTTCCACCCTTATCTACAAGTTAATTAAAGTTAGACATAGGAAGAATAAGAATAAGTTTCTTCTGAATTTTCTCTCGGATCATATTTCAATCAATTTCAATGTGTTTGCTTCTTTCATGAAAAATAGGGTTGTGTGCTAAGTAAATAGCTGATTTTCCATCACAGTAGATGGAGAAAGGCATAGGAAATGTGATGCAAAAACCATAAATGAGGTGATGAAGCCATTGAAGTTTACAAGTTAATGATACAAGAGCCCAATATTCTGCCCCATTAAAGATCTAGACATAGTTTTTCTTTTTGGGTTTCCATGAAATGAGTGAAGTGCCAAGGAAAACACAATGGCCAATGGTGGATTTTCGAGAATCAGGGCATCTTGTCCATTCAGAATTAGCAAAACCATAGAGTTTGACAGGAGCAGTAATAGGATTTGAGGTATCTGAGAATGTTTATGGCAACATTAAAATGAGGTGTCAAAGGTTTGGAGAGAAAGTGGCTTAACTGTGAAATATTTGGTATGGTATTAATGAGGTAGAGAAGTCTTCCAATGAGACTTCTATATGAAGTAGGGTATTCTAGGGGACTGCATTCATGCTTAGAGAGTTTGGTTGTGGAGTTTATAGGAATAAGTGATGGCTTGGCTCCTAAGTAACCAGTTCCTGAAGAAGTTCAAGGGTATACTTCTTTTGATTGTCAATGATTCCTTCCTCTGATCTTGCAATCTCAAGTCCAAGAAAAATATGAGGTTACCAAGGTCTTTAATGCAAAAGTGGTTGTCAAGAAAAGATTTGACATGAAGAATCTCAGGTAAGCAATTGCCTTCAAGCATTATGTCATCTACTTAAACCAAAAGTGTTGTGAAGGAAATGTTATCAGACTTGATGTAGAGGGAATTGTCAGCTTCTGATTGTATATATCTCAAAGTAAGAAGAGCTTGATGTAGATGAAATTGTTAGCTTCTAGCCATATATAGATTTGTGAAGTTTGCCGACTTGAGGAGGAGAGGAATGAGAATTAAGATGACCAGGAGGTAGTGCCATGTACACTTCTTCATTCAAATTACCATGTAAGAAAGCATTTTTGACATCCAACTGTTGGAGATGTCAATGCTTGATGGCAACCAAAGCTAAAAGAACTCTAACTGCTGTAAGTTTGGCAATGGGAGAGAAAATATCAAAGAAATAAACTCCTTCTAGCTGAGTGTAGCCTTTGGCAACAAGTCTAGATTTATGTCTTTCAATGGTATCATTTTCTCTATGTTTGACTTTGTATACCCACTCGCACCCAACAATACACTTACCTAGTAGAAGATTAACAAGAGACGAAGTATCATATTAATAAAGGGCAAGTAACTCAGTTTCCATGGCTAATTTCCAACAATCATGTTGAGGGGCTTGTTTATATGTTTTTGGTTTAATGTGAGTGGATATAGAGCAACAAAAGGCCTTATAAGAAGGAGTGCAATGTTAATAGGAAAGGACAAATGATAAGGGATATGCAGTATGATTACGAGCAACATGAGTATTATGAAAAATAGAATTACAATGAAAACCTTGTACATAATAGGGTTGTATTACAATTCTATTGGATTTTCTCAAAGGTATAGAAGAAGTATGGATATCAGTAGGAACAAGAGGTTCAGGAGAGACATCAATGGTAGGTTCAGGAGGAGCATCTATGGTAGGTTTAGGAAGAGCATATGTGGGATCATGGTTGGAAGATATGGGAGAGGGTGGATTTGGTTGATCATGTGAAATATTAAGTGTAGGTTCAGGTTAGGAAGGCACATATGCACTTTCAAGAGTATCATTCAAAAAATGAGGGACCTGGAAAAGATCTTGTTCAAGAATAAGTGATGAAAAGGTAGATTTAAGTGCCTTAAAAGGAAAATGTGTTTCATAGAAAATAACATGTCTAGAGACAAATATGTTATAAGAATTGAGGTCATATAGGATGTAACCATTGGTGCCATCTTTAAAACCAAGGAATATGGCCTTTCTAGATCTAGAATCAAATTTACTTCTATGAGCTAGATGGGAAGAGGCGTGGCAGAGGCAACTAAAGACTTTGAGGTGAATGATGGAGGGTGGTTCTTGATATAACATCTCGTAAGGACTCTTATATTTAAGAAGAGGTGTAGGGAGTCTATTGATGATGTGAATGGCATGTTGTGTAGTAAAATTCCACAAGTTAATGGGAAGGTTGGCTTGGAAAGAGATAGATCTGGCCATATTCAGGATATTTTGGCGTTTTCTATCCACCACGCCATTCTTATAAGGAGTTTTAACACTATTTTTAGTGAAGAATACCTTTAGATTTGAAAAAATAATGTATGGAAAATTCAAAACCATTATCTGTTCTGAAATAGTTCAAAGTGTTGTAAAACTGATTTTCTATGTAGGAAACAAAGTTAGTGATATTTATTTTAGTTTCATCCTTAGATTTCAAGAAAATAATCCATTTAAATCATTTTAAATCATCTACCAAAGTGAGAAAATATCTGTGACCTAAGAGGGATACAATGGAAAATGGCCCCCTAAAGATCACCATGCAATAATTCAAAGGAGCATTAGAAGTATAAGTGCTTAATGGAAAATATAATCTCTTTTGTTTGGCATAATGGCAAGAGTCATAAGGAGACCAAGTATTTTTATTTAATACAAAGGGAAAAAAAATTGAAATGGCATGCAAGCCAATATTAGAAGTGTGGCCTAGTCCATAATGTCATACAAAGAGAATTTGTAGTAGAATTGGTATTACAATTACATGAATCATTCAAAACATGTGTAGACTCTATGACATAAAGTCCCTTGAAAATTTTAGCTCTAGTAATCGTTGCCTTGGTATTATTTTGCAAGATATGTCAGGAATTAGATGTAAATTGCACAAATAAGTTATTTGACTAAGAAAACATATGATTAGAAGAACATTATTGGAACAAAATAGGTATTTATAAAAAAATTAATGAGCAATGAGAAGTGGTAAGAAATAAGGATAGACATGTAGCTCAAGGCTATGGTCAGCAAGAAGGTATATATTTCTCTAAAACCTTTGCAGTTGTTGAAAGTATAAAGGAAATTATGTTACTTATCTCTTATGTTATTAATCATATTATTATTTTATACCAAATGGATGTTAAGAGTGCATTCTTAAATGGAGTCATTTATAAAGAAGTGTATTTCAAACAGTCACCTGGGTTTGAGGATTAAATCCACCCAGATTATGTTTTCAAACATAAGAAATCACTCTATGAACTCAAACAAGCTCCTGAGTTTGGTAT